GTCTGTAGGATGTCTTGCTGCTGCTGCTGCTGCTGCTTTCCCCCTCCATTCCTTACATAAGTCAGCCCTGCCATTCTTCTCCACTTTCAAGACGCATAAATCACACTGATATAATTAACTGCACCTAAGCCTGTTCTACCTGCAATAGCCACTTTTTCACTTATTAGAAGTCACAGTGTTCTATTGAGCTCCCTACTATCGTTATCTGGCCAGTCTCTTGTGTGTTATGCTGATCAGAGCCACATATTTTACTGCTTAGGCATCATCTGCCTCATTGAGATTTTGAAATTAAAAACAACAGCAAGTCACAGTTCTGCCTCAGTGTAGTCAGATATAATGCTAATGTCACAGAAGCCAGGAAACCTGTGGGGTAGTTTATTAAGATAACCATTCAACTTCCACCCTATTTACTTAGCCAAGCTGACAACAACTTCCTATCCATTGTTTTGATGGCCCAGATAGTTGTAAATGGGATGTAAATTATCTCCACTGAGACTGGATTCAACCACAACTTATGTTACATTGATTAGTTTGTATAATGCATATGAAGTGAGGCGCGCGCCCCCCTTCTCACATGAACCCAGGAACATGGAAGTCGCTTCCATGTGATGCAAAGCAGCCTTATGCTGCTGGATTGTGTGTGTGTGTGTACATGTATGTGAATGGAGCAAACGAGTAAGCGGGACGGAGCCAGGGTTTGTGGGTCTTTCCCACCCAGTCAGAGTCCTTTCATTCAATGGGGTGTCAGTTGGGTGGGAACGACCTGCACAAGCCATGTGGTTGCTTCATTCACACACACACACACACACACACACACACACACCTCACCAGTGGAAGACCTCATTAAAAGGAAGTGACTCCCACACATAGGCACTTAATATTAAACATGATGCAGAAAAAGAGGACAGAGAGGTGGTTTCCCCTCCTCTCTCATAACACGAGAGTGATCCAAGGAAACGGAATGTTGGAAGATTCAGGACAAGCAAAAGAAAATGTTTCTTCACACCACACACCACTTTAAAAGGTGGTTAGATAAAATTTTTGGAGGTGAAAGCTATCAGTGGCTACTAGCCACAATATGTAAAAGGTAAAGGTAAAAGACCCCTGGATGGTTAAGTCCAGTAAAGGCGACTATGGGGTCGCTGCGCTCATCTCTCTTTCAGGCCGAGGGAGCCGGCGTTTGTCCGTAGACAGCTTTCCGGGTCATGTGGCCAGCAGGACTAAACCACTTCTGGTACAACGGGACACAGTGACGGAAACCAGAGTGCACAGAAATGCTGTTTACCTTCCCACTGCAGCGATGCCTATTTATCTACTTGCACTGGCATGCTTTCGAACTGCTAGATTGGCAGGAGCTGGGACAGAGCAATGGGAGCTCTCCCCATCACGGGGATTCAAACCACCAATCTTGATTGGCAAGCCCATGAGGCTCAGTGGTTTAGACCACAGCACCACCCACGTCCCATAAACACGTTTATGTACCAGTTGTTGGGAATCACAAGCGGGGAGGGTGCTGTTGCACTCATGCCCTGCTTGTGGGCTTCTCGTAGGTATTGGTATGGCTCCTATGAGAAGAGGATGCTGAAAGAAAAGGGCATTTGCCTGATCCAGCAGAGAGAGAGAAGGGGTGTGTGCCCTAATTCATATAACTTTCTCCATGCGGTCAGATGTTGACCAAATGGAAGTTTATGCTATCTGGTCTCAAAATACTCAGATTTAGCGCAGATGCTCAGATTCACCACACGGCTGAAAGATTCACAAAACGTACCCTTATTGTTTAAGGCAGCATTCCACTCTGTGGCTCATGTTGTGTAATGCTTCTCTCCTTCTTTTCTTCTGGACTGCAAGAGATGACGTGTTGTTCCTTGACGTGTTTCTAAAAGTAACTTATTCAAAAGCTTCCTGCTTCAATTTTACACTGTTAAAAAATCCCAAGGCCATTTATAATACACATTCAAATGATAAAACAACCTAAAACAAATACCTCCCCCCCCCAAAAAAAGATAAAAGAGCAGTAGGTAAAGGTAAAGGTACCCCTGCCCATACGGGCCAGTCTTGACAGACTCTAGGGTTGTGCGCTCATCTCACTCTAGAGGCCGGGAGCCAGCGCTGTCTGGAGACACTTCCGGGTCACGTGGCCAGCGTGACAAGCTGCATCTGGCGAGCCAGCGCAGCACACGGAAACGCCGTTTACCTTCCCGCTGGTAAGCGGTCCCTATTTATCTACTTGCACCCGGGGGTGCTTTTGAACTGCTAGGTTGGCAGGCGCTGGGACCGAACGACGGGAGCGCACCCCGCCGCGGGGATTTGAACCGCCGACCATGCGATCGGCAAGTCCTAGGCACTGAGGTTTTACCCACAGCGCCACCCGCGTCCCTAAAAGAGCAGTAGAAGTATATAAACCAGCAGAACTGCATGAAAAATTCTTAGGGGCACAAAATTTCAGAGAGACAGAGAGAGGGAGAAAGTAGTAATAATAGCTTTAAAAAATAACACCCCCCCCAAAAAAAAATCTCCCAATGTTCATGTGGGCAGACTGAGAAGCAGATTTGGGTGACAGCCAGTTGCTAGGGTGCCCTCTGTATGGGCTTTAGAAAGATGCCCGCTTCTGACCAGTCCCCCATCCTGCTTTCTGACGTGCTTGACACTCATTGGGCACCACAGCTGCCACTCGGGTAGGTCACCGAGATTTGCCCCTTCTTTCCAGCCCATCAGCAGGCGGTTTAGAGGACACTTGCCTTGTACTGGGTGCTGGCAACCCACACTATGCCACTGCTTCTAAGTGTCACACAGGTTAGAGGTTGCACCGAGTTCTACTGGTAATGAGAAACATATCATGATTGATTCCCCACCTCTGGAAATATGGAAAATAGGAATTAGGTAGTTTTCATATTAGCAAAGTTGGAGATCATCTTTAGGTGGTAGATAGATTTAAAAAATGTCTACCCAGACATGCAATTTTATCATGTATATTTGCTTTCAAAACTGTTTTTTTTTAAAAAATAAAGTCTGTTGATTTATCAGTATTTTCTTATGACTAGTTAATATTATTTTATTAAACTTACATTGGGTTTTTTTGTTTTTTTGTTTGTTAAAAAAGAAACCTAACTAACATATAAATTTCATTAAATATAAATGCAATAGAAGCCAGATTGGGTAGCTTTATATTGCTGCTGCCCCCACACTCTCTTTAGTGATTAAAAAGTAGACCCCTTTTCCATGTAATAGCCTAACTGGCACACATGTCTGATTTGGCCCTTAGGAAGCCTTGCAACAAATAATATAAAGCAATCCTGTATTATTAATCCCATAAAACAAATCATCATTGCAAGATGATACTAAAGGCCACCCATATGAGTCTAGCTGAGATTTTGGTATTTTGCAGTTCATACCTACTTCATTAAATTACATCAACTCTCAAAAAGCACCTCTTCTGTTCTAAACCACACTGGTGTAAAATAATTTTGCAGTAGATCTATGGCAAATTGCTAACAATTTTTTAATTATTATTAATTTTTTGCAGAAGTAGATGCTTCTATTAAGCCTGTGCATTATAAATTAATAGCATTGCATCAAATACCCCGAGTCTCATCGTAAACAGAAAGGGATAGCTACCAACCACCTGTTACCCCATCTGTGGACCTTTAGAGTTTTGCCAGGCAACAGTGAATTAAATAAACACTATCAGAATAAGTGTCCAATGAGGCTTGCAAAGCTGTGGTTATATATTAAAGATATTTATCAGATACACAGGGGCATATATGCATCTTTCCTCTTCAGAGCACTTCACAATCGAACAGTTTGGACAATGCACAAAGGTGCCTTTTGTTAGTGGATGCAATGAGCTATAAAACCCCAAACAATTCAGGGAGCGACTATAAATGTCAAAGCCTACTAAAAGTAGAATTACAGAATATTTGAGAACTCTTGTTTAAAGCAATTAGCTGTGGTGCCCCTGTATTTGACAGAAACACCACTGTATTTGTATCATTGTGATATTTCTTAGTAGGTTCAAAAATCCTAAGAATTCTTTCAACGTGGTATGTGGCATTTAGGTTTCTTGTTGTATGCTGGCTGGTTAACTTAAGGGGGGGGACCCCCAAAACAAAACTGAGTATGTTCAGTGGCCAAGTGAGGGAGAAAATAGGGGTGGGGAAGAGAAGGGCAATGGAATGGGGAATCCTTGAAAAGGGCTTGGTTGGAATCTGGAACAGGAGCTCTCCATGATGCAATGTTTTGTTGCAAGTTCCCTTACTTAGTACTGTATCTGTTTCTTAGTAGGACAAGTCACAGCCCATTGCAGACATTATTTAGCTTTGGGCTGTGTTCTTCAACCTTGGTTCCCCAATGTGGGTGGACTACAATTCCCATCATCCACACCAGTCTAGCCAAGGATGATGGGAGTTGTAGTCTACCCACATCTGGAGACTCAAGGATGAAGAACATGGGTTTTGGGGGTGCCTGTGTGCTCTTTTTCCACAGTGAGCTGTGCCCAAAAAGCCTTACAAAAAACCACCTGTCTTATAGATATGCAAACCTGCAGTTTACAAAAGGTACCAGAACGTTCAAATAGGCCAAAGTCCAACCATTCAGTGTTGCAAATAAATAATTTAGACCTAACATGTAAGCACAGACCAAAAAGAAAGTTAACAAGCAAGCAGTACATAAATGCAACTCAAAGGAGCCTGGGACCTTCTCTCTAGCTCTGGGCTTCCTACAAGGGGTTAATGACGAGTTCTGTTATCTGCCATGCCCGGATACTTTAAAGACATTTGCGAAGACCCCAGCGCAATTTCCCCTTCTGCATCCTTTCAGAGCAGAGAAACAAGAATTTCAAAATGAAGATGAAGAGGTGATCGATTAATACCTGGCCCCGGACGGGCCACGTCTGCGGAGGACCCCTGCAGGAGGAACTCGGACCGTCTCTCTGGCTGCTTGCAAATGCCAGAGAGAGGAGCCACGGGGATTTTAAATGTCAGTCTCGGCTGGGTCCTGCTACATCCCTTACTTGGCAGCGGAGAGGAAGGGGAGGTGGAGAGAGAGGCAAGCCTCCGTAACCTTGGCAACGCAGAGAGTGGAAGCTACAATCCCCACCCTGCTTAGGATGCTGGAGAGGAATTTGTTTTCCGCTTTGAGAAAAGCCAGCCGCGAATTAGGTGGCTGCAGCTGAGGGCTGGCCTTGCTGCTGGATCGAGCGCCTTTGCCTTTCCCTTCCTGAATGGGAGGGCCTCCGTTTCTCCAAGTGAGCTCCTCCGATGACGTGCCTGGAGTCGGCTGCTAGCTGCAGTGTCACTGCAATGGCTGAGGGGCGGCTGTTGGATGCTCGCAGTGAGCTCATTTTTCCCCAGGAGGAAGGCGAGCATCCAGAGCATCGCCCGGCAACTGCAACCTGCTGGTGAAACCCCTCTCTAGCTCTTTGCCTCAGTTAGGCTGGCCTGAGTCTCCACTTTCAGGGTGTGTACCTGGTGAGCAGCTTTTTTTAAAAAAACAAAACCTGTATGGTCGATTCCACCCCTCCTCCTCTTCCCTCCCTCCCTTGCTTTCACCCCCTCCTCCCAAAAAATAATAATGCTGGACTAGACTTGACGAATCATGCTTGCATCACATCTGGTCCTAAGCCGTTTGGAGAACAGCGTATATAACCTGCAGGGAGAGAACGGACTTTTGGATTGCTTGATTTTTGCAGTTAGAAAATGCTAAACCTCTTGCAAAATGCAAGGTGAATGGCAACCCCTCCCACTCCCCTCCCCGCGCAAAAAAAAAACCCCCATGCTGCTTTAAACCTGCCTGCTAGGAACAACCTACAGGTTTTAGGCTGAAGTGCACTGCAATACACGGAATGGTGCTTCCTTCAGGTAAAGCAGACCAGCAATGTGCCCATCATGATGGAACTTGCCTGTAAGGTCAGTCTCTCTGCATATTTTTGCCTCTTTCTGCACCCGAATGGTATCGGTGTCTTTGCACACACAGTTATATAACTGCCTGCTTGTTCATTCTGGAATTAATCCATTGCCAGGTTCTCGGGTGTGTTTTTTTTGCATGCTATGCTATGCTAAGCTATGCCATGATTTGTGTGATGTATCAGATGGCTGTAGCCTGGGTAATAAATATAGGTTGGTGGTGTTATTTCTTTTATGGGGGAAAAATATTTTTAATGGAAAAGAAAAGGCCTTGCCAGATCCACGGCATTATATTCTATTGCATAATGTAGGGAGCTGCACCCATTTTGATTTGGTTACTTCAGATACGAATTCTGAGTAGAGCTGTTAGTTACAAGGTCCCACCTGCACTTTCACATATTGAGCATCAGCATTATTATTTGGGGTGGGGGGGGTGAGGAGAGAGAGTCTAGCAAATTGCACTGAGCTCCTGTGTGCTGTGGACACCTCTTTAATTCTCTTCTATAACAATAGAGCCCTCTGGGGTTTAATCTGCAGTTAAAAGGGAATTTCCCATTTTATCACCCCTGTTTCCCTTGTCGGTGATAAATGTCAGTTTGGCCCATTAAGTGGCTGGACCTTCCAGTTCATAAAAGCTCACTAGCTGCAGTCAGCATACAACAATGCAGGTGGAGTTGGGAGTACAAAGATAGCAGGTGCAATTCCCCCCCCCTCTTTTTTTGGATTGTTACTTTCTCCCCTCTGAGCAATTCTGGTAAGATGGGACTTGGTACAATGGGATTCACCTCCATCAATGGTTCCCTTGGGAGAATTGAACAGTTTCTTTCCGCCTTCCATTCTGACTTGCTGCTGTTGGCCTTTACCTTCCTGAAGTACTGTGTTGTCAGCAATGTCATCCTTTGCTTTAAATATAGGTTTGTAGGGAGTTCTCTCTGTGTATGTGAAGGACCAGGGTGGAGGGAGGAAAGGTTTGGAATAGGGAGCTGTCACTTCAAAGTTTAGTTTCCACTACTTATATGAAATGAACTGTCAGGCATCTCATAAGAAACCACGGACAACACATATGACAGTAGGAACTGCTCAAGATAAAATGTTAGAAGAGCACTTGAGAAACAGAGCCACTGCAATGTTTAGGGCTGCAATCTGATAACTGCCTACCTGGGACAAAGCCCCACTGAAGTCCACGGGACTTACATCCAGGTAAACATGGATAGGTTAAAACTTCCCCCATCCCCACAAGAATATTGACCCAGAAGTACAGATGTAAATGGCAAGTGAATAACATTTTAGATGATTTTCTTGGTGGCCTCAATCTGCCAGACGAAGAAAGCTTTCATTGTGGATTGCTGTATGAAGACAATAATTTTCAATAACAACCTAGGCTTGCATTTTTTCCAAGCATTTTATCCCTTCTGTGTATCTAATCACCGGTATACATTTCAGCATTTTATTTCAGTAGATTAACAACTGTATAAGCAACCTCAGAAATATTTGCTACCATCCAGGGGAATTCTCAAGCTCTGTCTTCTTGGGTCTACTAATACATAATATTTCATTTCAGCATTGGGTGGGGGGCAAATAGATGAGTCTCCAGAATGATCTTTAGATGACAGCTGAAAAGACTCAACAGTCTTTTAGCAGTAACAGCATTAATTGAGCACAGCAAACTTCCCATGGGTTCTTAAACCACCCATATTCCAAAAACAGACTGAATTTTGTATTGTGGGGTGGAGCCCACCAACTTTTTAATAGCTGATTAGCTTGGTATTTATAATCCACAAGGGTTGTTTTCTCTTGCAAGAAAACTTGCAACATATATGGTCCATTACAATAACAGGATATGTAGATTGATGAGTGATTAACTGTTGCAGCTTAGATTGTGTGTTAACATAAAAGGTACTGGAGCATGTTCCAAAAGGAACTGGAGCACAAGACAGACTCCCATTGATTATATAAAATAACACCATTTACTGAGTCTCTGTTGTCCAGTACCCCAGATTACCCAAATGAACAGTGTGTGCATATCTCAAAGAGGATAACCCTCCCATTTATTTGAATTTCTAAATATCCAAAATATTTTTCTTTTCTTTTCAACTTTGAGTACCGGTATGTTTGGTCAACTCTCATTAAAAACTCACCAGCACATTAGACATTCTTTGCAAAAAAATAAAATCAAAAGTAAATCACCAATTCTGCCATTCTCACAAAAACCATTGCCAAAAGTTCAGATTCTGCATTTGCATCTATAGCTGAAACTTAGGTTATCCATATATCTTCTGTCTACATATGTATAAGATATATACATAAGATTAGCTAAGTAGATAAATAGGTATCGCTGCGGTGGGAAGGTAAATGACATTTCTGTGCACTCTGGCTTCTGTCACAGTGTTCTCTTGCATCAGAAATGGTTTAGTCATGCTAGCCACATGACCCGGAAAGCTGTCTGTGGACAAACGCTGGCCCCCTTGGCCTGAAGCAAGATGAGCACCGCACCCCATAGTCACCTCTGACTGGACTTAATCATCCATGGGCCCTTTAATTTTTTTTAAAGTCTACATCCTTGAGGCTCCTTCTGATATTGCTGACAAAATACACATATTTTGTCAATGTTCATCTTTAAAATGTGAGAAATGACATTTTAAGAAGCTTTGTATACTGATCAGACTTTATGTGACTCATCCCATTGTGTATTTCTGTGTAAATTCCACTTGATGTTCCATATACCTCTTTTGTCTCCTCTGCTTCCTTTTAAATTTCACTAGGACTTGTTTAAGTTGTATTCAATGTGTCCCCCCCCCCAGGAAGAGCTAAATGAATGGTTCCAAATGAAATTTAAGTATCCTATGCATATTTACTCTAACATAAATCCTACTGAGTTCAATGGAGCTCCATTGAACTCAGTAGGATTTATGTTAGAGTAAATATGCTTAAAGGTAAAGGTAAAGGTACCCCTGCCCGTACGGGCCAGTCTTGCCAGACAGGGTTGTGTGCTCATCTCACTCTAGAGGCCGGGAGCCAGCGCTGTCCGCAGACACTTCCGGGTCACGTGGCCAGCGTGACAAGCTGCATCTGGCGAGCCAGAGCCGCACACAGAACGCCGTTTACCTTCCCGCTAGTAAGCGGTCCCTATTTATCTACTTGCACTTTGACGTGCTTTCGAACTGCTAGGTTGGCAGGCGCTGGGACCGAACGACGGGAGCGCACCCCGCCACGGGGATTCGAACCGCCGACCTTTCGATCGGCAAGTCCTAGGTGCTGAGGCTTTTACCCACAGCGCCACCCGCGTCCCACAAAAAAAAAAAAAATGCTTAGGATCAGGCTATTATAGTGAAATTCTTTAGTATTTACTCAGGCCTAAACCACACTGAGTTAAGCTCAGTGGGGCTTACTTCCCAAGTAAGTGTGCGTATGATTACAGTAGAGCTGCCATACGTCTGGAATTTCCCAAACATAGCTAGGCTTCGTCTGTCAAAAATGGCATCCGGGTAGAATTTTCAGGAAACAGCTATAATGTCCGGGGAAACCCAGTGTATGACAGCCCATATCACAAGTGTTGGTTTTTTTGGGTGATTTCCCCTTTTAAAAAAGTTTAAAACTTCAATTTTCATGTCCAGATTTTCACTTTTTGAAATATGACAACCCTAAATTACAGAATTAGGGGTGTGTGTGTGTTTTTTCTTGCTGTAATGATATGATGTGTGGATGAGTCCATACATGCCTTCTTCCTCCCATCTAAGCCTACTTTGGCCAATAACACAGCCAGTTCAAAAAAGCAGGGAACTGTGCTCTCAGCAGATCACCTGAGATGGATGGAAGTGCTCCAACTAATACTTGGCCATAGCTCAGAGGCAGATTACCTGTTTTGCATAGGAAAGCTCCTAGGTTCCATCACTAGCCTCTTCATGTAGGGCTGGGGATGACCCCCATCTAAAAACTTGGGAAGCCATTGCAAGCCCTGTGGACAATACTGAAGTAGATGGATCAGTGTTCTGATTGAAGGAGCTCAATGGTCTGACTTTGTATAAAGCAGCTTCCTCGGTTCCCCGGTGCTTAGCCCATTCTGTTGCAGCACAGGTCTGCTTGATCTAGGCTGTGTTGTGTTGATGAGCTGACTGGTATACTTGGAAGTCAGACCAATAGATCCAAAAGGAATTATTTCCATTAGTGGGTTTGGCATTTGGTTAGGTACTAAATCTGAGAGCGAGCAAATAACGACTATGACCTTTGGTGCAGATAGGAAAGCTTAAGATACTAGACTTAATGGGCTTCCAGGCATACCTTCTTTAGATGGCAAGAGCTGTAGCTCAGTGGCAGAGCAATTTGCATGGTGTGCAGAAGGTCCCAGGCTCAATCCCTAGGTTGTGTCTGAAACCCTGGAGAGCTATTGCCAGCCAGTGTAGACAATACTGAACTACATGGACCAGCGGTCTGATTCAATATAAGACAGATTTCCATGTTCCTATGTGATGTGTATTAGTTTACTTACTTAAAAAATATGCTAAGCCAGATCTGTTACATTTAGGGACCTTTTGCTGATTCTGCCCTGCTTCTTCTGCTCCAAGGTCCTACTCTGATAACACCACTGGCTAGTGCTGTTGCAGCTGAGCTAAACTGGAACTATTTGTGCATGGAGCCTGCCCATTCTCCCCAAGAGAAATGTATTTTTCCTCCTCCCTTATTTTCATTTCAGATAGGGCCTGCAGAGCTTTGTTCAGGCCACAGTGGCTTCCAAGGACAACGAATGCCATCAGAGCAAAGTGGTTCATATGTCTGGGCCATTATGGAAGTCCTCTTCTGTGTAACGCTGCTACAAAAATAAAAGATCAATATTAAGAGGCTAAATATGGTTATATGCAAAACCCTATATAATTTGGTTCTTGTAAAACCAGACAGTTTACTACTCTGTTCATTTATTTATTTTTATCACTTATAAAATAATCTCAACCTTTTCTTTTAAAAAATGAACTCATTAAATAAGCAATTCACTAGCCTACAACTTTTAT